GCGAGTTTGATCCCCACCCCAGAGGTGACCCACATGGCGCAGCAGACCTCTCCTGAACTACCCGCTGCTCCCCTAAGCAGTGTGCTTTATCGACCTGACTGTTCTGCTCCCCACTGTCTCTGGTGAATCCTCTCACTGCCCCTGCACCTCTGGACTATATCCCAGTTATGTATGCATAATTAAATACATTAAAAAAAAAAAGTCAGTAATTGCTGGACCTAAAAGTCACCCAGTCGCTTCTGCATCCAGTGGTTCAAAGGTGGATAGAACTGACAAGTGTGGAAGCACAAGACCAGATGGAGTGGTGAGAACGCTTTGCCCATATACCTTTGTGGTAGGTTCTCATTTTGGAAACTTCAAAAACTTAGGGGGAAAAAAAAAAACATTCTTTTTTGTACAGGTAACAGCTTAAGAGAAGTGTAGTATGATATATGACCCTGATACAATGATGGTGGCAGAAATGTCTTCCAGAATAAAGGCTTGGTTTTCTCAAACTTACTGTGCTCTTTCAGACCTTCTTCAGGGCACTGAGCATCTCTTCAAGCCAAAGTCTGTTTGCATTCATTTTACTCCATGCCACATGTTAGTGTGATCTAAATGGAGTCCCATTTCCACGCAGGTCAAGGAATCAAATGCACAACCTTTTTGGACTAGTGTGGTACTCCCCACACTGTTGTGTTTCTGGGGAGATGACATGTCCTGTGGGCAGTAAACACTGCAGTTGTTGCATCGTCATGAAATAACACTGGGCCTCAGAGCATCAGCTGCAGAAAAGAATCAGCAACGGGAAGGAGAGTAGTTTATGTGAAGGATACAGAGCTGCTGTTCGGATTGGAGTACAGTGTTTGTGTCTTGGCCTGTTTATAACATCAGCTTCAGAGATGTAGGCACTACCAGAAATGTAGACGCCGAAGGATTCAGTCATCTATTTCTTTAGAGCAGCTTCGTTACGTTTTCTAAAGGGATAATGCTGTAAGAACATTAGAAATGAACTGGGAATAATTCAAGTTGGGCAGGATATAGCATGAAGACAGAATGGCGCTATGAGGAAAAGCAAACAGTGCCAAGTGTTAATAGAATATAAATAGCTATAGGAGTGTCTGGCTTTGGGAATGACTGACACCTTGTGTGATGAGCAATCAGAATACCAATTATAAAGTGAACTTTCTTCTTTCACTGTAGTGTGGAACTGGAGTTCTTACCTTTTCATATAATCCTATTTGTGAAAGATTTAAAGATACTGTTTTTTAGTTAATTGCTGAATTCTTGGGAATCTCTGAGATAAAGGATTTAAGTTACCCTATGTTTTTGCTAAACAATCTTCAATTCTGAGTAGTTTTAAAAGAATAAAACTGGTACTTATGTTTTGGGCTCAGAATATATATGCAACAAAATAGGATGAAGACCTAAAATATTAATACCACTTGTATAAAATTTATTGAATATGTGTGGAAAGAATTATTAATTTGGCTTTTAAAAATATTCAAGGGAGTTAAATGTTTATTTGAAGCAGACACAATTTTCGCTCTGAGATTGACTAGTCAGAATCAGAACCAGTGGCTAGCTCCAGTAAGAAATTTAATTTTTTAGGCCCTCCCTGGTGGTGCAGCGGGTTAAAGCACAGCACTGAGAAGCTAAAGCCACTTCCGCATGAATTGATTTCCGCCTGCCCTTTAGGTGACCACATGGCGTGGCAGACCTCTCCTGACCCGCCTGCTGCTCTCCTCAGCAGTGTACTTCGTCGATCTGCCTGTTCTGCTCCCCACTCTGTCTATGGTGAAACCTCTCGCCGCCCCTGAGCCTCTGGCCTGTACCTCAGTTCTGTATGCACAAATAAATAAATCTTTAAAAAAAAAATTTTAATTTTTTAAGTTCACTATTATGACTTTCTAAGTCTCAGAGAAATTCAAATTTTAGATTAGGGTGGTTTAAGGGATAACATAATAAAGAAGAACGGCAGAATAGTAGGAATACTTGGTTTTTTAATTGCTACTTATAATAGTGCCATAATACACCAAATCCATAGAAATACATTTAACAAAAGATGTGCAAAACTGCTTCTTAAAAGTGGCAATTCACTCAAGAAAAATGCTAAAAAGAACATCCAAAAATATAGAGGAATATATCTTGTTCTTGGATCAAAGATTCAGAATTGTGATGGTGGCATTTCTCACCAAATTGGTCACTATTCAGCAACAGTCCCAATTTAAATCCTGGCTTGTGTGTGTCCTGACCCAATATTTTATGAAAATGTAAAGGACAAAGATAGTCAAAGCAGTCTTGAAGGAAACCTAGATCTCAGATATCAGTACAAAGTACAAAGTGATGGTAAATAAAATCTGTGGGCTGGTGTAAAGAGATCAGTGAATCAGAACAGAGAATCAGGAAACTCATTAATAGTTATGTTAATGCTGGCATAGTGGTAAAATGGGAGGAAGGATGCAATAATTAATACTCATGGGACACACAGAAAAGCATGAATATTGACCCTTGCTTTCGGGATATGATCTGAAAGTAAATTTCTGGTGTAAGGCAAAATATAAAATAGAGGAAAATGGAAGACACTGTCTTCAGGACCTTGGGTTAAACACATCTTTCAGCCAGGAACATTTATAGCAATAACCTAAAATAAAAAGGCTCAGTAAATTCAGCTGTTTTACAATTAAGAACTTCTGTTTATCAAAAGACCCTATTAAGAGAGTAAAAAGAAGACATCATGTTGAAAGGAAATATTGTTGACATATTTCCTAAAAGGAGTCCAATCCAGACTGTGTATAGATAACTTCTACTCATCTGGTAGTTCAATGAAATAATGGGCATAAAATATGTTATTCAGAAAAGCAGTTCTCTGGCCATTAAACATAGGGCAAGGGTGTCATTTTCATTCATCATTAGGCAAATGCAGTTGTAAGCATAATGTGATGCCACAAATATGCTACCAAAATGGTTGAAATGAAAAAGCCAGTACCACAAACTGATATGGACGTGGACCATTTGGAACATTCTTGTGTGTTAGTTGGTACATATTGTTACAACTTATTTGGGAAAGTGGCAGAATTATAACCTCCAGATTTCATTCTTCCTCAACTATGCAACAGAAATGCATATATATGTTCCAGAAAATATTATTATAATTTATATTATAAATATTATCCACAGGCATACTGTTTGTAATAAACAAAATTTAAAACAACTCAAATGTCCATAAGCTCCACATTAATTGTGGAATATTCTCAACGATGAAAACGATATAGCAAAAAGCAGGTAGCTGTAACTACATAGAACACTGGGTGAATTTCATAAGTGTGCTGTGGAGAGACGGAAACCAGGCAGCAAAGCAACATACAAGTTCTCAGGTGTTGGAAGACAACATAACTGTTAACCTTGCTGGTTGAATGGGTTAGAAGGTGTTCAGGTTGTGTGACCATATTCTATTCTGGCTATTAATGCAGGTTGATTACATGAGTGCGTTTATTTGGTGAAGACGCTCTCAGTTGTATAAATTTAGGATTTATGTAACTGTTTTAAACTTTGTCCTTCAAGATAAATACCTTAAATTATTCATAGAGATACATAAATTATGTAATAATTAAAAATTTCTAGAGGAGATTTCTGTTCTCAAGGACCTAAAGGGGATATTTATGACAAATTGAGTCTCAAGTACATAAAATCAATGCTAAGAAATAGTTACCGGAGGAAAGCAGCTGCAGACTAGGCTTGGTTTCAGAAGATCTAGGAGATAAAATAGTCTGTAGTTTTGATCCCCATATATGAAGAACAACAGAAGCATTTACCTTTCTGCTATCTTAACTTAAGCTGACTATTTAAAAGTCAACTCTTTTTTTTAAGATTTATTTATTTATTTATGCGTACTGAACTGGGGGGCAGACCAGAGGTGCAGGGACAGTGAGAGACTTCACCAGAGACAGAGTGGGGAGCAGACCAGGCTGACTGACTAAGTACTCTGCTGAGGGGAGCAGCGGGCCAGTCAAGGGAATAGCGGACGAGTCAAAAGAGGTCTGCCATGCCATGTGGGTCGCTTCAGGGGCAGGGATCGAACTCATGCTGAAGTGGCTTTAGCTTCTTAGTGCTGTGCTTTAACCTGCTGCGCCTCAGGGAGGACCTAAAAGTCAACTTTTAAAGGTGAATAGCAAAAAGAAGTGGGAAGAATGAACAGGGCTGAGATGAAAGCAGAGAATAGATGCTGTAGCTAGGGGATAATCAAAGCCTAGACCTGGCTGTTTACTGCAAAATCCAAAACTGAAAAGGAAACAAATGCAGTTTTCTAAGGTGAAAGTATTTTCCCTTCCCCTACAGCACTGATGCAAATTTCTTTTCCTTTGCATTCAGAGCCACACAATGCATGTGCTCATTAGCAGATGAGGTAGCAAACGATGTAAGTTGAATTTATAGGTTGTTTTTAATAGTGACCTTTAGCAAAGACAAGCAATGTAATTATTCATTTGGTGACCTCCAACAAGTAAGCAGGGAGTACTTCAGCAATAAAATGGGCTTATTTGGTTATAATACCAAAACAATTAGAGTGAAGTCCCTTCGAAAAATGTGTACATACATCCCCAGAACAAAGAAAACCACCTTACATCAATTTTAGGGGAGCTATTGCATGCCAAGTTTCCATTGGAAGACTGCAAGTTCATTGTAGGGGCTTATCATTTGCTGCTACTCTCTTACTGGCTGAACTGTTCTAGGCAGGAAGGAGACTCTTCTTTCCTCCCATTGGAGGTACAAGGAATGTCCCTTCCAGTTGGATTCTGTACTGTGCATTGATTGTACGTATACGAGGTCCCTCTCTACCTACCCAACCTCATTTAGTAAGATTTCTGCACATCATTTTCCAAAAGGTGATAGAATTTTGAAAAGCAGCACAGCAGTGTTTAGCTAGCCCCTGTTAAATCATTGCAGGAGGGTGACACAGACATTTGGAGCTTGAGGCTCTTGCTTCTTTTCAGACTGATTTTCCATTTATTCCAATTAACCAGGTACACGGGAAGAGCCTACTGTCCAGCAGGCCCAGCGTCGATCGGCTGTCTTTCTGTCTTTCAAGTCCCCAATACCATGTCTGCCCTTGCGCTGGGAGCAGCAGAGCAAACTTCTTCCCACTGTAGCTGGAATCCCTGCCAGTAAAGTTTCCAAGTGGAGCACTGATGAGGTATACTTTTTTCTTTGTCTGCCAGGAAACAGATAAAGGAGTGTAGGCTTAAAGAGTGGACATGATAAAGGTTTGTAAGATTTAGTATTTTTTTTTCTGAAAAATAAAATATTCTGAAAAGCAGCTAAAACATTCATCTCTTTGTTAACTGGTTTAACTTGTATCATGTAGACTTAGATTGCTGTGTTAAACTAGAGTTTTGTTATTGCTTTTGACAGGTGTCAGAATTCATCCAGAGCTTACCTGGATGTGAGGAACATGGAAAGGTATTTAAAGATGAAGTAAGTGTCCCACTAAATCACAGTATGTTCCTTAATAGGATCAAAGGGATGGAATGCAGTAGATGGGGTAACACTCTCCATTGGCAGGTGGGGGAAGGGATGGATCAGTTGAAATTGAAAAATGGATGTAGCTTGTCTGACAAGAAACATTAATCAGTTGCATAAAATGTTTGTTTTTTTAAAAGATGTATTTATTTATACATACAGAACTGGGGTGCAGGCCAGAGGTGTGTGGGGTGGGGGTGTGGTGGGTGAGAGGATTCACCAGAGACAGAGTATGGAACAGAACAGGCAGATTGACAAAGTGCACTGCTGAGGGGAGCAGTGGGCAGGTCAGGAGAGGTCTGCCTGGCTATGTGGGTCACCTCCCTGGCCGGGGATTGAACTCAGGCTGCAGTGGCTGACTTAAGTTCATAGTGCTGTGCTTTAACTGTTGTGCCACCAGGGATGGCCGCAGCATAAAATGTCTTTATGTAAAAATAATGTCGTTTACATAGGGAATATTAGTAAGTACCAGAGTATGATGCTTCATAGCAGTAGCACTAAACTTATTTTAAAATACATACACATAAAAGTTAATAGCACATGTTTATGTAATTTATAGCCCAGAAAGAAATAAGCAGTGTTATATTTTTAATAAAACAAAGATAATCACTATTAATTTCATTTATGCTTATAATAAGTAATATGGTTGTCTGCTACAGAAGCCCTTAAAATCTTTCTTAAGATCAAAAACTGGGGTGGGAAGAGTACACTGGACTATGGTGATGGCACACGGGTGAATTGGAGATGGGAAGCCCATGGGGATTACAACTGAGATGGAAAAATGCACAAAATGATGTAACAATAAACTATTATATTATTTTTTTAAAAAATGCACAAAATTAAGAGTGATATAAAAAAATTAAATGTACAAAATAAAATCAAAGACCTTTACTGTTTCTAAGTAGTCGCATGAGAAATAATAAACTGATGAAAATATTTTTTATTATATTTACTGAAGCAATAATTTATAACACTATGTTTTAGGGGTAACAAGCCCTTAAATCTCTCCGTTGTTTACAATATACTGATCCTCATTACACTCTGTTATTGTGAGATTGTTTTGTTAATTATATTCAACTACTACTCAGAACTTCAGTGTGAGGGATGATTAATATTGATGTTACCTATATTCAGCATTAAAACAAAAAGGAATTCAGCTTCTTACTATAATGTAAGTCATGCTACATCAGGAGACATTCACTGGAAACCTTAAAAAAATGCCACTTGCCTTTCAACTTCCCTAAGCAGCACAGTCAGTTATCACTCTGTTCTTGGTGACCAGATGGTAGAAGGAAGACTAATCTCAGCGGGCTTTCCCCAAACCTGAGCTGTCTCCTGTACGCCCGTAGCCATCAGCTGTAGGAAGAGCCTCAGAGAGAGCCTGTAGAGCTCAGAAGCCAGCCAGTGGCCTTAGTGTGTGAGGTGAATGCCCAAGGATCTGAGGTCAGCATCCCTTTTCAGATTTAAGTCCTATTTCAAAGGTGTTTTATTTTATTTGTAGTTTATCTTTATCTGGCAGTTATTCTTTCCATAACTCTTAGGTGGTATCCTGTGATGCCCTCTGGGCCACTCTGTTAATTTTCATCCCCTGCCTGGACTTCAAAACAGGCTGTTAGTCTTTTTCTGGCAGAGTGATAATGTTACTATCTTTGAAAATGAGAGGAAAACATTTTTAAAATAAGTTTATAGTATATTTATTTTATTTTATTTTATAAATTTTATTTATAAATTATATTTATTTATAAATAGAATGAATATTTATAAATTTGATATATAAATTTATTTTATAAATTCTTGTTTTGGTTCTGCTGATACCTGGATAATCCATATAGACTTACCCTGTTAAGTTTAAATAAGATTCAAGCTCAAGTTCAAATATGTTATATCTTTGAATATAACTATGAATGTAGTTTTTATTCATAGCATATTATCTTTGGAGATAACCCTCAGACATCCAATAGCCTCCAAGTCAAATTCTTCATAAGGGGTGAGATAGTGAATATTTTCTGTCCACAAATATCAGTCACCTTTATTCTCTCATCCTGTGAACTCTGTTAAATTTCTAAATGTGTCTGTTACTACAAATAATGTTCTGATGAGAAAGTTCACTCAGAGATAACAGGAGACAATCCTAACTCTCTGATGTCCTAAAAGCCAGTATTTCTGGCTTTGAATCTTAGATATAAACTATAATATATAACAAAGTCATATAAGTTATCTTTAATGGCAAAGTCCAGGTGTTAGGATGGGCTATTATTATTTGACTCCATCCTTAATTTCTCTTTCTCTACATACCTCACCTGTTGCAAAACTATTGTATGTATTTTTAAAACATGTACGGGTTTCTTTTCTCCCTCCACCACCAATGTTTCCTCCCTACTCTAAACTGCCACCATCTACTATCTGGATTAGTGTAATAACTTCCTAATCACTTTCTCTGTATCTATTTTTACCCTTGTACAATCTATTCCCAATATAACCAGGACGATCCTGCTAAAACTAGGTCAAACCATGTCATTCCTCCATGCAAATCTTTGTAGAAGCAAATCAGAGTAAAAAGTCAAATCCTCCTCACAAAGGCCTAAATCTGACATCCACATAACATCCTCTGGCCGTTCCCCAAAGTCGGGGCACACTCTTGCTCCTTTCTCTTGAGGGCTCTTCCTCCAAATGGCCACAGGACTTCTTGCTGCTCACCGCCACCTTCCCCATGAGTCCTACCCCAAACACCACCTGCCTCTGTACATCCATCCCTGCACCACCTTCCCACTTAGCTTCCCAGAAAGCTGTTTTTTACATACTGCTACTTTTTAGAACTAATTCCTACTAAATAACTACTGATTGATTTGTTCATATGCATTTTTGTTGCTGTTGTTAATTGTCTCTCTCTGGAATATAAATACTGCAAGGAGTTTTTGTTTGCTTCCTTACATGGTTTTGGTTTTGTCAGTTTAATTCTCTACTATATGCCCAGTGTCAAAGAGTGTCTGGAAAATAATAGATGTTTACTAAGTTATTTTTGATTTTTTGTTTGTTTTTTTTTTTTTTTTTTTGAGTGAATATACTCATACCTTTACTTGATGAGAAAGACATTCAAGCAAAGAGTATGTTGCGGTGATTTACAGAGTTAAAGCTTTGGGAAAGAACTCTGAGGGCATAGGAGAAAGAGCAGTAGCTTGGGAGGCAAAGGCCCCTGAATTCCAAATCTTCCTTCCAACATTAAACCCTTAGCAGGCTATGTAGCCCTTGGAGTTAGAGCAGTTTGTATGCATCACAAAAGAAAAAGAAAAAGATAGAAAAAGGATGGAAAAGAAATGTGATATGTGATACATTGCTGTCATCGCTGTTTCTTAAATTTGCTTCCTCCCAGTTATGGCTTATCCTGGTGGCCACGCATCAGAGCAGCCTGTGAGCATCGTGCTCTCTGGCACATGTCCTAAAAGGAATTGTTCTTCCTAGTGTCACTGAGCAATCATTTACCAAGCCTTCTCCTCACCCTTCTTCTAGCTTTCACATCCCAGCCTTGCAATTCTCTGAAAGTTCCTTTCCGCCAGTCATAGGTCATGTTAAACTTTCACACAATCTCAGAAGGAGTCTTTGTAGAGCCCAAGATTATAATCTGCCATTCAGTCTTTGTAGTGAGCATCTGGGAATCTGGTGCATAAGTTGACATTTCATTAATGATTTAGAAAACTTATGTCAGACCGACCGTTCATTCTGATAAAATCTGCCTCAGTCGAGTGAGGTGTTACTAGATCTGTGTTTTTGCACAAACAAATGAGACCAGACCAAGTGTTTCCAGAAAACAGTACAGCATTTGTCATACACTAAACTCATCTAACACTTGGAAATGAACATCGGAATGTCTCCTTCGAGTTTACAAGAGTAAGATGTTTCCTTGCTGAAAATGAGCACACTTTTTTTTTTTTGCAAATAATTGTTTTGTGGAGTTGTCTAAGATATCTCCAGTTCTTACTGATACCATATGTAAGCAAATTAGATTTGCAGATTTTTTTATTTTTAGGAGGGAAATGTTTGAGATACAACTAATTATTTCAGACTTTATTTAGTTAACTCTTTACAGAATTTGTAGTAGTATTAACTTACTAGGGTTGCCATAACAAAGTGCCTCAAACTGGAATTTATTGTCATCCAATTCTGGAGTCTGCAAGTGTAAGGAAAGAGGTCCTTATGCATACTGTGCTCCTCCCATTCCAGGAGGACTTCTCCCCGCTCTTTTTGAGTCCAGGGGAAACATTATTTAAAAGACTCTTCTCAGGCCTCCCAGGCCTTTTCTGGCCCTTCTCTATCCCTACCCATCACAGCCCTTATTCTAAAACCTACCACGACAGGAACTCCATTTGAGCTCACCCAAGACAAGAAGAGTTATCAAATTCTTGATGCAGTGCCTAAGTCAGAGAATCTCAGGAGGATATTGCCTGAGAATGATTTTTCAGATGAAAGAGTTTTTCATTGCTTTTGGCCCACATTGGGTGTGTTGCTGTAGGTAAGAAAAGTTCATTTATCAGGAAATGTTTACACAGGTGAACTCCTCTCTGTGCCATTTGAGTGCTGCTCTGCAGATAGCTGTTGACTTTTTTTTTTTTTCATTTTTTTATTTATGTATTTATTGGAATCATTCTACAACAATGTTTAGCTGCTAACTTTAAACATTGCCTACAGTCCTACATCTGACTCATTCACAATCTTTTGTCTTTTTCTCTCATTTTAGCAAATAGATGGAGAAGCATTTCTGCTTATGACCCAAACAGACATTGTTAAAATTATGAGCATTAAACTGGGCCCTGCTCTCAAAATTTTCAATTCTATCCTGATGTTCAAAGCTGCAGAGAAGAACTCTCACAATGAACTTTGAAGGTGGTGAATTTTGAATACCATCGGCTTTCTGCTTTAAAGCTCGTATTTTATTCAAAGCACAAGGACAGTTACAACTCCTGAGTGAGAAGTCTCCACAACTCAAAAGAGCAATGCTGTCGGATTATTTATATTCCTCAAGAGACAATATATATATGAATTCTTATGAAAGTGCTTGAGCTTTTAACCAGGTACTGTCTAACAGCAGTCATCTTTTGGTTCTGTTCACTGAGCTAAATTTATCTTTGTAAATCTTTTTGAGGCTGGGGGTGGGAGGGGAGAAGAGGGACTTCATTAATTATTTATGGACAAAGGGGGGGCTAAGTAAGAACTTTTGGCATTTTGTAAACATTGTTGAATTCTCTTTCATGTACACTGTTTCTTTTTCAATACTTTCAAGAATCTTTTTATATAATCAGATTTCAACTTAAACCAAATTAGTCAAAACCTGGCACAGTTTAGCCAGTGGGACTGTTACCTGTATTGTTAATTCTGTGCCATATCTTGAATTGCAACATTATGCTAAGTATAACTTTGCAAGTCATGATACTGCCTAACTGCCTGTCATCATTTGTTGGGGCTGAATAGTTGTAAAAAATTACTTTTCTTTTAATCAGTGTTTTTACTTTTGCACGCATTATGAAATGTTAAACAAATTACTTTTCACCAGCATCTTTACTATAATTACCAAAAACATGTATATAAACAATGGAATTGAAAATAAAATATATAAACATAAATAAATTAGGTGATGTATTTGAGTGGCATCAATCTCATATGTTGTGGTGCCCTGTGTGTTTACAAGTGTCCAGTGCTATCAAAGGAAAATGCAGTTACGTTGGTGGGGGGAGGGGGGCGCTGTTGTAAGTGAACTATTTATGAGATGATCCTGAGCTTCTCTCTAGTTGTCATGGAGGTAACTGGTGCTTCTCAGAGATGAAGAGCTCGTTCTGTAGATAGAAACAACAATCTGTAAAGAGCTCTGTCTCAGATCTTGTAGTGTCCTCCAAAACCCAAAGATTTTCTTCAGGGTTGGCGAAACAGAGAGTATATAGATTTTACTGAAAAGGCAAGGTGTGTGAGGAACCAACACCAGTTGACACAAAGAGGCTTAATAAGCTCACAAAGAGGCTTAATAAGCTCCTGAGTCATGGGGGTGATTTCCCAAAGTAGTTATTCAAGAACCTCTGTTTTGGAAACTTATTTTTCTGTCCAAAACAGTTTGTCTCCATATACTAAGCGTACAGATGCACTTTAAATGAAAGCCCTTGATTATCCCTAGCCTGATAGCTGGTAGTGTTACTTTTACAAGAATGCAATTCCAACCCAGAAGGTAAATTATTTTATCAGCTTTTATTGGATGATTGGACATTTATTCAAGGACTACTTTTCTACTTAAAAAGTGAAAAGTAAGATTGTAGCATGCTGTCTGAACCTTGGGGAAAGTTCCACCTCTCCTTGTTGCTCTTGTTTTTCTGGCCGTAGGGTTTCCTTTGCTGTCCCCCTGAAAGTCTATTAGCAGGCTTTTGCATTTGTCATAAGCCAAGGTAAAACAGGGTCAGTGACTTCTGTGGTGTCCCATTCATTGCTTTGCATGAATTTGCTTAATAAGTTTTCATTGTTGTTTTTTTCCTTTTTTTATATTTTGTTCCAAATTTGTACATTCAAGTTGCACTTGTTATATCTGACATGAATGAAATAAAATCTGAAATGCAGACACCTTTTTACATATGTATGATTTTTAACAGCGTTTGTAAAACAGAAGGGGTGTAACGAGAGCGGGAATGTCAAATGTGGTTAGTAACTAAGTGTGTGATTATTCTGGAAAATTTATTAAAGTTCATCAAACCATGTTGCAGATGATGTGAGAGAGACAAAAATTATGTTGTTAGGTCAAATAGGATTCACACCCATTGAAAATGTTTTCTATCTGGTTTAAAACATGGAGTAACAAAGAAGCTTGTAAATCTTACAACAGATGTCTATTCATTTGTAAGCAGCTTGGTGGTATTTCTTAGACGCAAAGCCATTAAGTGTCCTCAATGTGCCTCAAGAAGCAGAAACCCTTTTCATGATCCCTGCCCTAGTCTTAAATTTTAACAGAAGAAATGGAGCTGTGATAGCATGAAAGAAGCGGGCTTCGTTGGGGTAAGAACACAGGGAGGGTTGGAGGTGGTGGAACTTGTACAACCTCCCACGTAAAGGCATTTGAAAAAATTATAAATACGGTGCAAGCCAAAAGAGACCAGTCTGCATGTTGAAATATGGCCCCAGGCTGCCATTTTGCAGCATCTTGATTCAGTGAACTCCACCCACAGAGAAAATAAGATTATGTTTGTCAAGCACTATTGAATGTTGACTGAGCGAGGGCCTTCCACGGTGGTGCAAACAGGTTAAAGCACAGCACTAGGAAGCTAACCATGGCCCCTTCAGCACAAGTTCAATCCCCAGCTAGGAAGGTGACCTACATGGTGCAACAGACCTCTCGTCTCACCTGCTGCTCCCCTCAGCAGTGTACTTCATCAGTTTGCCTGTTCTGCCCCCCACTCTGTCTCTGGTGAATCCTCTCACTGCCCCCCCTGAACCTCTGGCCTGTACCCCAGTTCTGTATGCATAAATAAATAACTTTGGAAAAAAAATGTTGACTGAGTGAGAAGACCATGCTTGGCATAGGGAATACATTCACTGTTGAGACAATAAAGCTTATGTGAGACTGCCTTGTGGTTAGCTGAGGTCTCTATCATACTTGGAGCCAGACTTCACTAGCTTCCCTGTTGCTCCACCTTGCCCCAGCCTGGAGGAACAGAGGGGCTTTCATCCAGCTTTAGCCAGAGACATTGTAAACCTCCTGAGGAAAGGAACCTTTAAGAATTTGGTAAATCCATTTGGGAGAATAAGACATCATGAAACTAAAAAAGGGGAGGGGAATAGATTTGAGGAATAAAAAGGAAAGTTTGAAAGGAACTCAAGGCACAGTCAAGTGCAAGGGGGCAAAAATGGAAACAAGTAGGGACTGGTTTATATCAAAATCACATGGGGTAAATTACTCTGCCATCCATTCTTGTGTGCAATTAGAGAATCTACTGGAGTAGGCAGATCTTCCACTGTATCTCACTGACTTCAGTGTCTTAATGAACAGTAAAGGAAAGCCATTAGCACAGATTGCAGTTATTTCCAAGAAGTATGTTATAAAATGATTCTTCTTCAATTACTCATAAGGACCCCTTCTTAAAAAAAAAAGATTAATTATTTGTGCATATATAAATGCTGGGGTATAGGCCAGAAGTGTGGGGGTTGAGAGTATTCACCAGAGACAGAGTGGGGAGCAGAACAGGTACTGAAATACACTGCTGAGGGGAGCAGCAGGCGAGACAAGAGGTCTGCTGCCCCATGTGGGTCAGCTCCCTGGCCGGAGATCGAATTCATGCTGCAGTGGCTGCGATAGCTGCATAGTGCCATGCTTTAACCCGCTGCGCCACCAGGGAGGGCCTGATCCCCTTCTTAAGCTAATTTTATTTGACAAAGTATCCCAAGAAATGTCCATTACATTGTGATGTAAATTTTTTGTTGTTGTTGTTCCGGTGTGTTGCCAGGTATAAGCGCACACAAATATTTTTCCAGTTTGAAAACCAAGCTGTTCTATTCAAACTGATGAGTAAGAATAATATTGCAATGGTGACAAAAGGGGGCACTTTAAAACCATAGGAGGTAGTTTTTCCTTGGAAAAGAGGAAGAGCAACACTGAATCTTGTGCAACCTAAGATGTACTTAAAACAACTGCTGTTATGAACAGATGGAATGACAACATGAGACTCTGGGTTCTGTGAGCCCACAGGGCTAGGAGTCCTGAGGCTGAAAACAGGTCTAGGAAGGGCTTAGCCTGAAACTGCGGCTGTTATCCAAGTGGCCCTGGAAGTAAATAGCTGATCCAAATAAGCCGGGAGTAATAACCAGCTCAAACACAAATACCTGAGGACAAGGCGCTGGGAAGTGAGAACAGGTGTTGGGAGGCAAGGTCAAAGGCAGCCCCGCATATTAAGGGAGGGAAGCAAGGGAAGAGAGAGCCAGGTCAGAGGCTGGAAACTCCCGGCGAGATCCACCTGCAGCAGAAACCTTAAGGGCCAGCAAGCAGCCTGGTTCTCAACTGATGTGGTCAGGGGTCAAACCCCAGGCCAGCTGGCTCATCTGGGGGAAGGGCAGAGGGACAGGTGCCTTTTCTTAAAATATTTAAGTTCAAAATGTTTGCAAGCAATGTTCAGACCAAAGAGGCAGCCTCTGTCCACATATATGCAGTTCCCGGACATGGAGTCTTTCAAAGATGAGCCAGCTGGGTGAAGTGCAAGTTACCCTATTCTGAAGGATTTGAGCATATCTGAAGTGTTATGTCTTAAAAATGAAGGGCCATGGCCCTCCCTGGTGGCGTAGCGGGTTAAAGCACAGCACTGAGAATCTAAAGCCGCTCCGCATGAGTTCGATTCCTGCCTGCCCCGGAGGTGACCACATGGCGTGGCAGACCTCTCCTGACCGGCCCACTGCTCCCCTCAGCAGTGTACTTTGTTGATCTGCCTGTTCTGCTCCCCACTCTGTCTCTGGTGAAGCTTCTCGCCACCCCTGAGCCTCTGGCCTGTACCCCAGTTCTGTATGCACAAATAAATAAATCTTTAAAAAAAAAAAAAAATGAAGGGCCACTCTGGCCCTCCCTGCTGGCTTAATGGTTTGAGATGCAGCACTGCAAGCTAGCCACAGTGTCAGTTTGATACCCGGCCTGGGAAGTGATCCACGTGGCACCAGACCTCTCCTGACTGGCCCGCTGCTCCCCTCAGCAGTGTACTTCGTCAGTCTGCCTTTTCTGCTCCCCACTCTGTCTCTTGTGAATCGTCTCACCACCCCTGCACCTCTGGCTTGTACCCCAGTTCTATCTGCATAAATAAATCTTTAAAAAGAACAAACTAATGCATCCTTGAAATATAAGTAGGACCATGCAATTCCTTAGCTACAAAGAAAAACAGTCCTTTAGGAAGTATTTTATTACAGAATTTCACAAAGAACATAATTATGCAAGCATAAAGATAGATGGCATTGAACTTTATTCATATCTGTGAGTCAAGGCGATTTTATAGTACCTACTTCTACCACAACCCAATCTTAAGACAAGTTTTTATAAAGTTTCAGCTGTCCCAGAAATTGATTCTGACCGTTGTTTATATGCTATTGAGTGATTTCCTTTTCTTTCATAGAAGGAAAATGGGGACTGTGCGTATCAAAAATCAGTGTCTCTAGGAAATTGAAGGTTTGGGACAGTCGTCTTGGACACTCGATCCCAAATACATGAAAGGCAGCTATGAGAGCAGCCAGGGCCGTAACACAGTCGTCCACCTTTGTGAGTTTCTCTTTTTCTAAATACAAAGAAAATTCACAGACATCAATGTTGAAAGGGTGCTTAACTTCTAACACAGGTGTGGACACTTGTACCTGAAAAAAGAGATAACAAGTCAGCACCTCATGATATGTAAAATAACTAAATAATCCAAGGTACCACAATTTAATCATGATATTGTAATAATGAGTTTGTTGCAAGTTAATATATTTCTAAATGTGACACACCATAGTTCAAAATAGATCACCATTCTGCTTTTAAATAAATTATCACATGAATATGTAAAATGCCAAACCAATGATCATTGACATGCTTCATACCTCCTCATTGGCAATGACAAAAAGGTTGGAATCATCCCCAAAAACCTCTGGTAGGAGTAGACATGTGGCTGTCATCTTCATATCTGTCAAAGCAAACATGCTTACAGATCAAATACATACCAGTCTTCACCTATTGTAAGCAAAGTCAGTATTGACGCACTTGGGTTTTTAGAAAGTTGTTACTTCTAAGAGCACACAAGAGCTTTCTTAGATCAGTATTTCCTGACCATTTTTAACCAACAGCCCCTTCTAAAAATTACATTTAAGCATTCATATTCTTCCCTCCAGATCACTGCCAGGTGAAGACAAGAGTTCTATACTCTGTCCATCAGACGGGATAATTTTATCATGCCTTTGCTTGTAGTTTGTATTGTGAAATTAGCTAGTTCCCTAAATATATATATTTTTTTAATATCAAGTGTATTTTAAGAGTCTCTAGTTCAACTCCTATTTGAAAATTATTTTTCTTTCCCATTCATTTTTTCGCTGAACTTTAACTATTACCACAACAGAGCTTTTTGAATTACCCCAAGTTACATAGCTATTTGAGACTAGATCACATGAGAATAGCAAAATCCTCCCCCAGCTTCACTAACGTTTCAACATGTCTTGGTCTGTGTGCTGTTTCATCTTTTCTTGCAATGCAATATTGATGGGATTGTTCACTACTGAAAAAGAAGTCAGTATATTTTCTGAATAGGATTCCAAGATGTGCCTTGTTTTATTATAAATATCTGTTCTTGTAAGAAGTTGGAATTCTCTGAACATCTGGAAAAAGAAAGAAATATATATGTATCAGAAAAAAATAATATATAGGACACAAGGAAGTAAATAACTCTAATGTTATATTAAACTTTGAATGTTAGGTTCAACTATTTAATAGATATTTTGAGTAGCAATAATGGAGAAGTAAAGACTTAGCACAAAGAAAATAAAAGCTTAAAGTGAATAGGAAAAGATAAGTAATGGATATGGCAGACTTCTAAGTATGTAGAATCAAAACCTTCACTGCAGACTCAACTACATGAGGGTTTCAAAATCTAGACACATATTTTGGTTATTTAGGTCACCCAGCTAAGATTCTATGCTCTTTCATCTCTTCAGGTACATAGCATTGTTACGTTTTGGCAGAACAAGTAGCCAAAAAAACAGAAAAAGAAACCATATTTTAGGAAACACAGAATCAGACCTTGAAAACCACCTAATCATTGTATACTACAGGAAAGAGAGATTAGCTATAGAAACTCCTTAGGGATAGAAATAAAAGAATAAAAAATATTTAAGTACAAAATCAGTTTATGTTAATGGAAACCCTTAAATGGTAACTTTGTCCTGCTGTAACCCATGCCCGGCAACCCCAGAGAGCCCATCATCCTTCCTCCCTCCCCAGTTTGTTTTTCACCAAGCTGCATTATAAGATTACACGACACCTACATTAGTAGGAATGAATGCAAACATTGCCTTCCCTAAAATTCTGCAAAGAACAGAGGTACTACCCACTGGGTCTCATTGTTCCTTGAATTTTGGTAGCTCAGAAATAGGCCAAAAATTAGCACTCTATGTTATCAGAAAATTGAACGCACATTATCTCATAAAGGTGAAGTTGCCTGTTGCCAAGCAACCTTCAGTGGCGCACTAATCTGGATTAATGCCTTTTAAAGGGTTTTTCACTGCAGGGAGAGATGAAGTGAAGTGTGAAGATGAACATTCCACTACTTACTAGGTGACTAGCTTAGGAACATTTTTAACCATTTATAATAATTTCAAGTTTACATTAAAGGTACAGGAAGAGTAAATAGAGATCATAGAAGTCCTTCAAGTTCCTCCAATGCTATTTTGGCCCATTGAAAGTGTCTGTGTTACTTCCTTAGTTTCTGGCACTACATGGTGCTTCAAGTTTGCCTCATGTTATTTCTGTCCAAGTCCCCACAACAGTCATTTCTCCAGAAACCCTGGTTCCTTTAAGTGGAAAATGATATTTGGAAATGAAAACTTCAGCCCTAGGTATCGCTTAGTGGTGTTATGATGCTGGGATTTCTCAGAGAGCAAAGGTAGGTGATATGTACTTGTAGCTATAGAAACGCACACACTCAGGGACATACACGCATCTCTGTTTATGTATCTCTAGATAAATACTAAAATCCCTAAGTTCACACCAATACATTCAATTCAGTTGATGCCACAGGGCTTAGTCTAACTTCCTCCCTCCCACAGATTCTTTCCAATACCCAGAAACCTGACTCTCTTTATCCCTTTGCTTATTTGCATAAATCTTCTCCACCCCTCCTAGAGCCTAACTTCCAGCAGTGAAGGGTCAGTTGCACAACCCCAGGCTGGCCCATAGGTTACTAATTCAAGCCTTTTGGTTATGCAGGTTGGATCATTTCCATTGATCTAATTTTAAGTTCATAGATCCTTTCTTCCCCTCTCTTATATACATTTCCCTATCCAGTGCTGTTTTCATTTCAGATGCCATCATTTCTGAAATTAAATTTGCTTCTTTATATATACACATACATACATACATACATATATAGATATTCCATTTCTCTGCTGAGTTGCCCCACAGTAATGATACCTAGAATTCCCTGATTTTACCCTGCTCCCCACAACTCAGAAGCCACTGACTTGTCAGAACGGTGGAATGGACTTATGCAGACAGAGGCACAGCACCAGTCAGGTAGGAATACTTTGCGGGGCTGGAAGAAGTCTCTACAGGAGCCTGAATGTACTCTCAACCAGTGCAATATATGTTGCTGTTTCCCAAAATATGGGGACATAGCCAGAAGGCACAGGTCCAGGAATCAAGGGGTGGGCACTGGGTGGTACCCCTCACTGTGACCCCAGGGACCCATGAGAAGAGAATCTATATTATGTGACATTCCCTTAAAGTATTCCATTTTTGTTCTGGCTGGAAGTGAAATTTCTGGTTGATCCTTCTGGTGTTACCAGACGTGATTTATCATTCATTCAACAGGTCTATTTTGGTTTCAGCCCTGGGCCTTCAGGGATGGTCCTGACTCCAGTGTTGAGCTTTCATACAGTGTGGGTTTTCTGGATTCTCTTGGCTGAGCAAGGTGCTCCTCAAGGTCTCTCCAGTGCGGCCAGGCCAGCATAGCCCCTGACATCACCTTTTGGGCCATGGTGTGATCTCATCCTGGGCAGTCCAGCTCTTAGCCAGGGACTTTGCTTCTCCACTTTCCTTTAACATTTGTCCTGCAAATGCCAAACTCCAATTTCTTTCTGTTTTGCTGACTTCCAACTTTTGGCACCATGTTTTAGAAAGTCAGAAAGCTGAAGCACATGGTATGTGTTCCACTTTTATAAAGGATCAGAGTCTATGGTGCCTGCTTTTTGTGGTCTTAAAGCAGCTACCTCATGTAGTGTTTTCAAGTTCATCCCATAAATGGCAGGCTGGCAAGGCAGTTCCGGTGACTCCATCGTGGCCAAACAGATTCTTTCATTTTGTATTCCTTTGCAATTGTGTTACATTCATTGTGACTCTCGTGGCCTTGAGTTTTCAGTGATGATTACTGAAATAGTTTCTCAGCGATTTTAGTAGCTATTTCAATAGCTGAGAAGGTGAAAGCTTTTTCAGGGGTTTTTACTAGAAAAACTTGGGATACTGCTTACCTCCACTTCATATTTGTCTTGTGCCAATCTAATAGATCCCATCGACAAATTCCTAATTATATTTTAGTCTATCGTTACAATATTGAATTTTTAAATCTGCTGCTGCAAGAAAGTTTTCTGTAGGCCAAGGGTTGAAGCGTGGAGGACTGAAAGAAGGTCTGTGTCAACCCCTGGGACCAGCTTCCCACCCCTGCTGCTTCTCTTCTGTCACATCATAGCTAACAGCTCCCTCCTTAAGTACTGAGGGTTTTCACAAGGTGGTAGCTACCAGTGCTGAGAGGGGTTTGGCAGAGGCAGCTATCCTATTAGAGGGATTGTTAACTGCATCTAATAAGTAATGATAAGCCTGCTTCTATTTCAGGAAGCAAAAGTGTTTATTCCAGCTGGCTGCTCAAGACTGAGTTGGGAGAGCTACTTCCTGGAGAAAGCTAAAATTTTTTACTCTTTTGTTTAAAACAAGACATAGACAACTTTATTTAGTAAATACAGTTGTTACAAAAACTGCACTCCAATGCACACTTTGGATATAAAAGTGAACAAGCCTGAGAGTGTGTGTGTTGGCTTGGGGGAGGAAGATATAAGATGCCACAGTGGGAAAAACTTGGGGTACTGCTTACAGCATGAGTGACAACGGTTATAGCATAAGTGACACCAGTTACACCATGAGTAAAAGCAGTCGGTCTGAAATCTTTGTGCTCCTCACTCCACATGTCATGGACCTCAGACTTACTTCACTTTGGTTCTTTGAAAGGTCATTTAGCCATAACTCATCTGAATCTATCACTAAGCCTTTCAGGAACTGTCCAATGAAAACCCCTAACAGCTGCAACATCTTGACCACATTCAGCTAACAACTGCTATGAATGAATGCTTATGTCCCCCCAAAATCCACATGCTGAAACTTAATGGCTCATTGTGGTGGGTTAGGAGGTAAGGGCTTTAGGAGGTGATTAAGTCTTGAGGGCCAAGTCCTCATGAGTAGATTATTGCCCTTATACACAAGTCCCTAGAGCTAGCTTGCCCCTTTAGCCATGTGAAGTCACAGAATCAGAAAGGTTCTGGCCCATGAATCAGAAAGATGGCTCTCACCAGCCATCAAATCTGTTGGTGTCTTCATTTTAGAATTCCCAACTTCCAGAACTGTGAAGAATAACTCCAAAACAGTATCTATCCAGTCTATGACACTTTTCTTACAACAGCCAAATAGAGTAAGGTACCACATATCTATTATAGTAACGCATTCAGCATTCAAAAATCAGAATTTCCTTGAATTACATGCGCAGTATTCTGCTAGGCATCTTGGGAACTACTAAGATATTGAAAACATGTTCCCTGCTTTCAGAGGAGTTGTTTTGAACAACTATATTTTGTAGGTGACATACTCTTTTAATAGAGTTACTGGCTATTACTTACTCCCAGCAAGAGAAAGATTAAGAGAAATCAAGCAATAACTAAGGGAGAGTTGTTGAGAGGATGAGATCAACTAATTCATGTAAGCACTAAGAACATACTAAGTGTTCTTCATAAATACCGAACACTCAAATGCTTGCTATTCACATTATTATAAAAACACAGAAATTCTTTGGGTTTTCAGGTTATTTTGAAAGAAGAAACATGTAAAACTTTTTAAATTTGGTTGACTGCATCCACAGATTTTTTTCCCATGTAATATTTTAACTTTGATGAAATATTTACTACCTACCTCAGTTTAAATTATATTAAAACTGTAACAAGACCCTTTCATATCTTCTACCTTAAGTAAGGTAAGTGGATAGTTTTTTTATTTAAAAAGTAAACCACTATTTAGACCCCTTTATTAAGTGATTTGTAAATCATAAAGGAAACAGACTTTGTCTAGTGTTATACACAGACAATTCCCTAATAAATGACTGTCTACTGCATGCAAAAAAAAAAAATACTTTTCATGCTATCAAAAGGCCCAGCAATAGTGGTCCCCAACTCTCAATGACAGGTAACGTTAAATCTGGAGTGTATCCATCCAGTACCTGACACTGGCAGAGGCAACCAGAAATTTTTACCAGTCTTAGGTTTCAGCCCAGGGGCTTCACACAGCTAACCAAGATTTACACCCACTGTCCTGCTACATAGTCCTGTTACTACTCCAAGAGGAAAGAGAACAATCAACTTGGACATTACATTTAGAGATGAATAAAGATACCTGATAAGGGCACTTCAAGAAAGGAAACATTCTGAGAATGTCTTTCACGGGAGTTCTGCTGTTGATCAACTTCCTTCTGATTTCCAAAGTCTGGCTCATCCTCTTATCAATTTCTTTCCAGTCCTTTTCTGGTTTTGTGTACTCTTGCTGGAGCCAGTTAATATGGTCTTCTACCTCAGAATCTAAACAAATAGTTTCTTCCTGTGAAATATTTTCAAAATATCAACACAGTCCATGTTTCAAGTGACCTTATGAAAATTTGAATTATAGGTTGTATTGCACTCATTATACAGACATACAAGTACACATACTCATATATGATAGATAGGGTTACATATGTCATAATAAAGCACTCATACTGAGCATCAGATTATGTGATTACACTTGACCTTCAATAGTGTTGAATGGGCCACCTCTAATGCTAAGAATAATTAAGCAATTACTTACTGTGGAATTAATATATTTTCTTGACAGATCATTAAGTTACTTTATTTCCTATGTACACTTGCACTTTACTTCCTATGTACAAGATTATCCAGAGAGTTCACACTCAACAGCAATATTGTTTATTTTTACTCTTAAATTTTAAAAGATAAGTCATTAGGAAAAGATAGAGTTTTAAATTAAGGAATTATTGGCCCTCCCTGGTGGCACAGCGGGTTAAAGCACAGCACTGCAAGCCAGCCTCAGACACTTCAGCACGAATTCAATCCCTGCCCGGGAGGTGACCCACATGGCGTGGCAGACCTCTCCTGACCTGCCAGCTGCTCCCCCCAGCAGTGTACTTCGTCAATCTGCCTTTTGTGCTTCCCACTCTGTCTCTGGTGAATCCTCTCACCTCCACTGCACCTCTGATTTGCACCCCAGTTCTGTATGCATAAATAAATAAATCTTTTTAAAAAATTAAGTTACTGTTATGATTATTATTGATATTTTTCCTTTTTAACTGCCTTACAAGAGATACAGAACTATGTTACTTAATCCAAATTAAAAATATTACGTTGGTATTTTAGGATGCTAAATCATCATATGTCAATAATATTCACTATACATTTGGGTACACTGGCTGGAGGTGGGTGGCAAAGAAATACCCTGCATATAACTAAAAAAATTAAAGATAATCAGTTTCAAAGAATGAAGGGAACAATCTTTCTAGCAAATTTAGTTGAGAGGATACTCAGCTGAACTGCACTTGCACTAACAAGTTGACAAACTCAACCTGGAGGGAATGTGAATAGATGCTACTGAAAAAGATGAGAAAGATCATTAGGAGTCACGAATGATCCAACATCAGCGTTTGCCAAGCATTTTAGGTAGATCTGCTTCCTGTAAAGATAGTATCATAAGCAAGGCATAAATCAAGTGAACACATTCCTAGAAAAATAGGACCATCCAACAGACTAAAATTTAGCTAGAAGATAAAAGCATTCATCAAGAAAATACTAAGACCTCAAGTTTTTATAGAAAATTTCCACTAATTTTTAGAGTGTTCCAAAATTATGCAAACTCGTTTGTTGAGTCACAAGGGCAAAGAAAAATAAGTACTCTCCAACACATTCTATGAAGACTCTGTGAACTTGATTCCCAAACCTAGAACGGAGTAAAAGAGGAAAATGGCAGGTGAATCTCATTCATGAACAAAGTTGCAAATATTAGAAACAAGAAACTAATGAGTTTATTCCTTTGCTGTAGAAATGTGCCTATGGTCTGATGTTAATAAGCATACTATAGAAATTAAGTGTGGTTGATTAACTCACTACATTACACATAATTTCCTACTGCAATCAGAATTTGAAGGCCACTGTTTTGGAAAGATTTGGGACAGAAAAAGGGCTTTGATCCATGTGCATATTAACACTTCTCTAATTTGTCTAGATTATCTACATATATATAAATACCATATCTTGCCTTAACTATTGATTTAGAAAAATCTGATCATTTCAAATCTGTAGAATGAAGACAGTGTATAAAATGCAGCATCTCTTTAGGTTTAAAAAAAAAAAGCTTGTCAAAATAAGAGAAATTTTTAAAACTTGTAAAATTATCAACCAAAACTTGAGCTGATATAACTTTAATGATGAAATTTTTAAATAATTATCCTCCAATTAAAAACAAGATGAAGATAGTCTATTACACTTTTATTTAGAGTTGCACTGACTATCCTATTTAGTGTAGTAAGATAAAAAAGAGAAATAAAAGATGCAAAGCTGGAATGATGGAAAGAAAATTTATCATTATTCATGGTGATGTGATTAAGAGAAAACTCAAATTGATATACATGTAATTTGTTAAGATTAGAACTTACCAGAACAACTAAATATAAAATGTATACAAAAACATAGTAATGAACAGAAAATATAATTTTTGAAAATTTTAACAAAATTAAATAAATGGAAGTAATTAATTGATTGATTAATTAATTAATATTAAATAAATATCAAATAAAATATTCCCTAGACTTCTATGGGGAAAATTATTGGGAAATATTAATGAGAACTAAATAAATGGACAAATGTACCATATTTACTCTCAGCATAACTATAAGGAAGTTAACTTTCTCTAAATAGAGCCATAAGAGAGCATGAAGACATACGACCTCTATGCACATAAGAAAATTTGTTATCCATGAAAGGATTGGTAACTTTACTAGTGGAACACAGCAGAGCTTCTAGACAAAGAGTTTGGAGACAATAGAGACAATATCACAAAGCTCTGGGAAAGGAAGGATTATTTTACAGAATATGCAGGAGTTTTAACTTTATGGGACAAAGGGGAAAAATGGCACATCTTATGATAAATTTCACATCGTTGAAAAGCTTAAATGTTAAACACAGACATTTACATTTTTTAAGGTAATGGTATTTCATTTTATGGTAAGAAAAAATTGTTCCAAAAGAGATCAGCCATAAGGGAAATGACTGATCCATCTAACTATATTAAAATTACAAGCTGCTTTTTGTCCAAAAACACCAGGAAGAAGCATGGTGTCATAAAAACATGGTATAAAATGGGCAAAAATATTTATGGTGGTGTATCACTAGTTTGTCAAGGAGTAGAGAACATAATATTTAGAGAATTCTTATCAATAAATAAGGAAAAGGCAACCTCAAAGAAAAAACAGACAAAAGACATGGCCGAGCATTTTACAGAAAAAGAAACTTGAATGCTCCATAAACATGACCAGATTATAAGACTCACACATAATTCAATTGAAAATTAGGACCAAATAAGATACTTTACTCACAATAATTGGAGATAATAACAAGTACTACTCAGTGAATTTAAATAGCTACAGTCCCAAAGAAAATTGTTACCACTGTCCTATAAAGTTGAATATTTGCATACCCAATGCAAGTGTATATCCTTGAAAATGCTGTACGTAGACACGTGTGCATGTGTACAAGAATACACACACACGAAAGTTTGGTGTGGCACAGTTCATAACAGCAAGAACTGGAAATAAGCCAAATGTCTATTCATAGAACAAACAAATAAGCTGTGTTTTGCTGTCACAATAGATTTTTAAGCCAATATAATAGTTAATGAACTAGACAGCTGTACTTGACAGCCTGAATGAAATCCCAGAGACATTATATTGAGTGGGAAAAAAAAAGATGTCATAAACAACATGTGTAGTTTTCACATCATTGTGTCAACTTCAAAAACAGGCACAGCTAAACTATATTGTTTAGGAGTCATGCATATGTGATAATCATAAAATTCAGGGTGGAAGGCCCTCCCTGGTGGTGCAGCGGGTTAAAGCACTGCACTAAGAAGCTTAAGCCACTTCCGCATGAGTTCGATCCCCGCCTGCCCCAGAGGAGATCCACATGGCACGGCAGACCTCTCCTGACCCGCCCGCTGCTCCCCTCAGCAGTGTACTTCGACGACCTGCCTGTTCTGCTCCCCACTCTGTCTCTGGTGAATCCTCTCACCCTCCGCATCTCTGGCCTGTACCCCAGTTCTGTATGAATAAATAAATCTTTAAAAAAAAAATTAAGAGTGGAATATGATAGTTTTGGATGGTGAATGTGGAAAGGGGAGGAAATCCTAAGTAGACACTATGTTATGGGGCAGTGTTACAATTCTATATCTGAATACTGATTCACAGCATTGAATTTTTTTTTTAATAAATTACACATGCTACATATACTTTATCAGTCTAAAAGGTATGGTGATTTTTTTTTTAAGATTTATTTATTTATTCATATAGAACTGGGGTACAGGCCATAGATGCGGAGGGTGAGAGGCTTCACCAGAGACAGAGTGGGGAGCAGAACAGGCAGGTCGACGAAGTACACTGCTGAGGGGAGCAGCGGGCGGGTCAGGAGAGGTCTGCCATACCATGTGGTCACCTCCGGGGCAGGCGGAAATCGAACTCATGTGGAAGTGGCTTTAGATTCTCAGTGCTGTGCTTTAACCCGCTGTGCCACCAGGGAGGGCCGGTATGGTGATTTTTAAATAAAATAAAAACCTAATTTTTAAATAGTAAAGGAGAAAATTATCATTTAAAACTTTCTTTTTACTGAAATATGGAACTGCTAATATCAACATTACAGATTATTTATAAACATGATATACTGCTGCCCCAAGTCTGCAAGTAATTCAAGAAATGTCATGGGTAGTAGAGTTTCTAGGGAGCTTCTACTTAATGGGACTCATATTACTGGATCGTATCCCAGATTAAAGTCCTCTTTAGAAGGATTTTTTTTTTAGAAGGAAAATTTTTAATGACTATCAGAATTTAAAATTCTCACTTTTGAAATAATTTCTATATTCTTAGAGCTGGAAGGAATTTAGAAATCCTCTGACCCAAATGGATGATCTCAATTTGTTGATAAGCCAGTTGGGACTCTCAAAAGGAAAGTGTCTTTCCCAGCCTCAACCGTCTTGGGATAGCCAAATACTTCTCCAAGGAGATAAATGGCCTTGCTCTGAATGGCTGGTTTCTGAGTAGAACACATTCAGATGAGGGCACGAGTGAATGAGCAATGTCTTAACTTTACAGAGCAGCAGCAGCAGAATCAACTGCTGCCTATCTGTTTTTGGAAGTGAAGATGAGCAGAGAAGAATACACTCAAAAAGTAATGGGAAGAAGCAGCCACTAAGCAGGGAACAGATGGCCAAAAAGTAGATACATTTAAGAAGTCTAAGAATCATCAGTGGGATATGTGGCTTCATAAGAATTGGCATAAAGCAAC